ACTACTACTACTACTACTAGGTGCTAAGCTTTCTCACCGCTTGTTGGCTCGGCTGTCTTTGGGCACACTCAGTTGTGGGGCTTTGGGTCGCGGCTCACAGCTCTTGTGAGTTGGGTTCTTCAGATAGTGGTATAAATGAGCAGCATCAGCAGCATAAAATCCCAAAGCCCGAAACCCCCCCCCCCGTACATGCAGAAGTCTCACCCCTGAGCATTGTACTTGTTTCACTGCGCTTACGTATGAGGCTTCTATATGACTACACCCTAAACCCTAAACCCTACTTCCGCCTCCGGATGACTACACTGTAGGGCTGTAGGGTTGAACAAGGACGACAGTAGAAAGAGGGATGCGAATGCAAAGCCCTCAGAGACCGGGTGCTCGTTAATCTGGTGATCGGTAGCTTCAAGTGACGAGACCCCATTTGGGACTTTCCGAAANNNCTTATAATAAGGATGCTACTATTTAGGGTACTATATTAGGGTCCCCTATTTTCGGAAACCTCCGTTTGAATCCGTACACTGTGTTCCGTGAGCATCATTGCACAATGATCTCTACACCCCGACACACGGAATCCTGGCTTGCCCCCACATCCGAAACCTTATGCCGAAGGCGAAACCCTGTGGCGTACAAATTACACGCAGACGGCACACAATACAGAGGTTTGATTCGCAATGGCACCCCTGGTCCCGAATGTTGTTTTGGTATAGGCTCTGCTTCTACGATAAGCTTCAGAAGGAACATGACGCGCAAATATTCTGCCGTCCTCCAAGAACAGCCCAAAGAACTTTCCTAAACTCCTAAGCCATCAGCCCTTCTGACCACGACCATAATCCGTTCTGAACACAACAAAACACCCCGGCCTAATGAACACCAGACAGCTCCAGCCCTGCAGGAGCATCTTCTTCGACTGCAGCGAAGGACCCTCGATCGAGAGGCGATGGGGTGTTAGGGCTTGTGGAGTTTAGGGTTCTCGGTGCAGGCGCTTTCGGCATAAGGGCTTATAGGGTTCTGTGCTCATGATTGAATCTCTGAATTATGGGTTCCGGATGTCGGGTTTCGGTTTTTTGGGCTTGAGACAGGGCCGTATCAGCGGGCGCTTTCACATCAAAAGGTGTAGGATTTGCGGCTGTTTTTGGTTGCGGGACTCCCTCAGACTCGTTTAGGGTTCTGGGCTGGGGCTTCGAGTGTTGGGCCTTGCGGGGCTGTGCGCTCGACATGTTTAATTACCAGGCATCTATACCAATCTGAGTGTCTTTTGAGCCTTGTTGAGCCTTGACACTCACTTTAGGGCTTTAGGGGTTTTGGGTTTAGGTTATGGTTTTGGGGCCACGGGCCTGGGGGCGAGGTAAGGTTCTCCTGGAATCCGACATGGGATGGGAAGCGTAGCAAGCTCTCGATGGCAGTTGGCAGGCGTTAGTGCCACAGAATTTCTGATGTGGATTGCCAGAATCACTATCTTAGCGATTTTCAGTGGCTTGTCTGTGGCCGTGAGGGCTGGTGGCTCTGTGACGTTGAGGGGAAACGATGATGTGGATCCACCTCTTTCAATTTCCAGACTTGACGGCGACGATGGCACAACCCTTGGTGGTCTCCCTTCAGGGCTTTCTACAACAACATGGGGTTCAGGGCTAGTGTTCAACGAGAGCCTCAGACAGATGCTTCTGCGCAACCCGCCATAGACCCTACCGCGAGTTCCTATTCCAACTAGATACTAGAACATATATACTCCACCTTCCATTCTAAGTCCCTATACTGGACCCCAAAGTGACTCGAAAAAGCAACCCTAAACCTGAAAGCCAGAAAGCCCGAAGTAGCAACCCGAAAGGCTGCGAAGCTCTACACTCCAGAGGCCCAATTTAAGCCCAACACAAGGACCCCAAAAGGGTAAACCCCAACTTCCCATGTCCTACCACCTCAAACCAGGAACCCCAAGCCTGGACCCCAGATCCCGAACCCCAAGGGCCTATAACACTTTCCCAAAGGCCCCATGTACCTTTATAGTAGCTACTTAGGCCATAAAGGGGTCCCTATACAGGTACTTTAAGGCCTAAGTATCTACTATCAAGGTACATGGAGCCTTTGGGTTTATTTAAACCACCCCGACATGAATTCAGGGGTCTCTTGGGCAAAGCCCCCAGGCGCAGAAGCAGCGCTTGGAAGCTGAGCGCTTCGAGCCGCTAACCTGAGCCGTAGACATTCTTCGTTTCGGGTTTAGGGTTTAAGGTTTAGGGTTTAGGGGTTAGGGTTTAGGGTTTAAGGTTTAGGGTTTAAGGTTTGGGGTTTAGGGCCTCCCGACCGAGAGTGTCCGTGAAATCGGGCCATATAATGGTTCTATATAAAAGTGGGTGTATATATTGCCGTTGCTGTGCATCTAAATGGGGCCCCTCGGTTTGATTATTAAGTGCATATCATATCTGGTTTCAGGTTGGTGGTTTGGCGGGTGTTATTTGAGGCACTATGGTGTGTTAAATGGTGCTCATAGGGCTTGGAGTCTAGAGATTGTTTGGGTGTGGAGGTTCTCTGAAAGGGTTCGTCTTCAGAGGAAGATTTCAGTCATTTCAGTGTCCGTTTTGGGGGAACGCGGCTCAACTCAAAGCATGTTTGACAGTAGAGTCAGAGTGTCTATAAGCCTTAAAACCCTGGATTCATAAACACTCAAAGCGGTTGAATTCCTACAAACTCTCATTAGATCCTGTACATCCTATACAGAGGGCTCCTAAGCCCTCCAAATATTCAGGACCTTGCGTCAAGCTTTGAGGGCTAAAGTCTGTATTTCGGCTTTGAACGACAAGTCCTAGGTAGTATTAGGGAGACCCCTGAAAAGGGGACCCTTCTTAACCCTACTTATGGCTCTCTTAAAGGGGACCTTCTTGAGAGGGTCTATATCCCCCAAGGGTCCCCCGTAATCCTAATCCTAACTCTTAACAAGGAAGTGGGTCTATATCCCCAAGGGTCCCCCTAATCCTAATTCCTAACAAGGAAGTGGCGTGAGAAGCTGGAGCATCGCGATATGGCTCGAGCGAAGCTCTGGGAGAGCCTCGCGCGGGGCATTGTGGGTTTAGAGGTTTGGGGTTTTAACCCTTTAAACCCTAACCCCTGACCCTTTAAACCCTAAACCCCTAAACCCCAAACCCTAAACCCTAAACCCCTATAACTCCTAAACCCTATAAACCCCCAAACACTAAACCCTAACCCTAAACCCAGTTTGGCGTTGACGGCTTAGGGGAAGGTGAGGTTGGATGCATGTAGGGGCCCTGCAGGTTGGACTAGGGCCTAGGGGTTTCGTCAGGGGCCTTCGGCCTTCTTTGTTGGACTCGGTGTAAAGGGGTTTGGGGGTTTAGGGTTTAGCGGTTTAGGGTTTAGGGGTTTAGGGTTTAGGGGTTTAGGGTTTAGGGGTTTAGGGTTTAGCGGTTTAGGGTTTAGGTGTTTAGCGGTTTAGCGGTTTAGGGTTTAGGGGTATAGGATTCAGGCAGGTATGGGGGCTGGGTCTGGGTTTTAGATTCAGTTCCGCAGAGAACGTCGAAGTCGAAGGCTGGACGATAGACGGGTATTCAGTGTTGGCATCATGGATTGTTGGACGGTTGGCACTGTGACGGTGAGTGGAGGCCACGAAAGCCGTTTAGAAGCAACGGAGAAACAATGAAAGGAAGGACTGCGGAAATGAAGCGAAGGAAGTCAGATGATCTGATGTATGAAGCGAAAAAACACACAGATCAGTGAGAGGAAGATGCTGCCACATATCTATACATATCTACACACATATATACATATATGTATATATATATACACATGTCATACATATATATATATAGGTATATACACGGACACATATTATAAAGAGAGCCTATGTTCGAGGACCTGCAATGAGCAACCCACTTTTGAGACAGCTTTACTGCTCTTGGCTCATGTACTGGATGTCGCAACGTTCAGCTGCTTCGGTTCACTGTCACTGAGGTCGATCCCTCAACCCTAAACCCTAAACCTACCCATAGGCCTCTAAGTAGTTCCTTTTTGTGGATTATGTTTACAATCCTATAAGGTAATCCCACAAAGGAACTACTTAGGGGCCTATGGGTAAACCCTAAACCCGAGACCCTAAACCCTAAAACCCTAAAAACCCTAAAACCCCTAAACCCTTAAACCCTTAAACCCTAAACCCTAAAATCCTAAAACCCCCTAAACCCCAAACCCCTAAACCCTAAAACCCTGAAACCCTAAACTCTAAAACCCTAAAACCCCTAAGCCCTAAACCCTTAAACCCTTAAACCCTAGACCCTAAAAGCCCTAATGTTCAGACTTCAGACCAGGGTTCGGGCTCGATGAGTCTGCGCGTGTGCTGGGTTGTGTTTGGCTGCATGGGTAGCTCTCTAAAGCAAGGGTTTAGGGTTTAACGTTTAGGGTTTAAGGTTTAGGGTTTAGGGTTTAAGGTTTAGGGTTTAAGGTTTAGGGTTTTGGGTTTAAGGTCCCCATTCTAGGTCCCCAAAAAAGTGCGGCATCCTTTTGCAAAAAGGACCCAGAGATGTTTCTGGGCGGCTGATTTCGTATCTTCGGGTCGCCTTGGAGATTTCGGGGTGTTTTTTTGGGGGGACCAGAGGTTGACTTCACATGCCGGTTTTCGGGTTTAGTCAGCCATGAGTCACCCATCGTTCAGATTAGGGTTTAGGGTTTAGGGTTTAGGGTTTAGGGTTGAGGGTTTAGGGTTTAGGGTTTAGGGTACTGCTTGCACTGATTGTTGGACCATGTTCTCCTGCAGTGATGAGCTGCAGGATACAAAACATGTCAAGTGGCAAACCTTAAGTTGTGCGAGATTTCAGTGTCCAAGCATTGTCAAACTGTAAACCTGGACCCACCCCTCAACTTCCCTAAAGCCTACGTCCTAAACCCTAAAGCCGAACAAGTCGGAAAAGAGCCCTTTCAAGCAACACACAAAGACCTAAAACGCCATGGCAGCGGAGCAAGATCCCTCATTCTTGCGATGGCTGGTGCTTCTTTGCATGTTCGGATTGGGGCTGGTGCAGGCCATCGGTTGGATGATCCCAGTGCTCGTTTCAGAACCTGCTTTTAGAGTTTAGGGTTTAGGGTCTGGGGTTTAGGGTTCAGGGTTTAGGGATGTTTAGTGCTTTTCGTGTAGGCTTGCCAGCCTAGGGCGTAGGGTTGAAAGGGTTTGAGGGTCGCGGTAGCGTCGGTAGGCGTAGATGCAGGCTGCGGATTTGGAAACTTCGTCGCAACCCTACTTCAATTCCTCATTCAATTGGGGGCTAGGGTTTAGGTTTAGGGTTTAGGGTTTAGGTTTTAACCCCCTGCTCAACACTAGTCAGCAACTCGACATTAATCACATCAAAAAGAAGAGGCGATGTAGACCCCTGATCAAAAAGCCTTGCTTCTTTGAGGGCCGTAATATTAGGATCCAGCAGTTGTTAGTTGTTAGGGGTCATTTAAAAGTTGTTTATATATAAGCCCATCGGTTTCAAAGCCTAAGGGGCTTCGTTTTAGGATATCAAAACCGTTAAACGTTGAGAGACATATGTGTTGCGTTAAGGCGTTTCTTGCCCTCTTTAGGGTAGTGGTGTTGTGTTCAGGCAGGCTTTTATGACTCAGCGATTGCAGGGCTTTCAGTTCGCTTATGATTTGTGTGTTAGGGGGTTTAGGGCCGAGGAAGCACTCATTGTTTTGTTCTGGGGGTGTTCAGGGTTCAGTTTTGGAAGTTTCGGGCGTGGGCACATCCTTATTGCGATTGGATTCAGCATTTCAGAGCAACCCTCCGCATGATGAAGTATCCGGGCATGTAATGGCATGCAAGACCCTGCTACTAAACTCAAAACCCTAAATCCTAAACCATGAACCTAAACCCTAAACCCCTAAACCCTACAATCCCATGGCATGTAAGACCCTGAAACCTGAAGCCTTCAACTCTAGATTACGAACAGCCTCAGCCCAAAACCCTCTAGAACCTGAAGCCCTACGAGGCCCTACGATTCCCAAATCCATGAAGCTCTAAGCCCTCAAGCCCTCCAAGCTACTGTCCATCCCTAAACCCTAAACCCCTAAGCATAGGGGTAGGCAGGCTGTGGATTGTTTGCGTTTGGAGGCACCGTTGTGTCCACCGCCTGATGTAAAGTGCCAGCAACGGCGATGTCGTCGTTATTGCACTTCCTTATCTTAGTGTTGTGCTGGTGACAACTGAAAACGTCCCTTGGTTTCACTCTCAAGCCCAATGTAGGCACTGATTGAGCCCCTCCGTGTAGTGTTACTTGCTGTTGCGCATTTACATTATTACTGTTTATGTCCTTTGTTGCAGTTGGATCACTGAAGGGCGAACCTATAGACAACAGTGCAGAACAACTGTGGCATCCTTGTCGAATCTGCGATCGTCGGCTAGATCCTGCAGGCCTTCCCCTTCAATCTAGGACATTTTCGGGTGCGTAGTTACCGTTATAGGAGCCGCATAGAAGGGCTATAGACCGTATAGAAGCCTTATAGAAGCCCTATATACCCTAAACTCCCCACCTGTAGTTTCATTTAACGTAATTCTTAGGACACTTGGGGGCCTTGGCCCTAGTCTGCCTTGAATAGTCGTGGTCAGTCACGCCGACCCGACCGTCTGGAATCTCGCCTGTCTAGTCCGAGTTGTGAAAGCATAAACCCCTACATCTTAAACCCTAAACCCCTAAACCCTAAACAGGCCCTAAACCCAGAACATCAGCCGAGGACTTACAGTGCCAATCCAGACATAGCTGCTGATTTTTACGGCTTCGAAAACCCGAAGGCCAGTGCCCTCTTGTAGGGACTAACCCTAAACCCTAAGACACCTACCTTGTTCTAGGGGTCCTTCAATATGATTTAATTTTATAAGTCCTTCAGAGTATGTTGTTACGGGTTCAGGTAGCCCTAAACCCCTGAACTCCTAAACTCTAAACCGTCAACAGGGCTTTGAGGGTGAGAGTGTTCAGGATTTTGAGGATTGCAAGGTGCCCCCACATAGATTCCTTGGGGCCCATGGCACTCTGTTGTATGTATGTGTATTGTATATGTATGTATATATATATATATATGTGTGTGTGTGTTATAATGATGTGTGTATGTATGTATGTATGTATGTATGTATGTATGTATGTATGTATGTATGTATGTATATATGTATGTATACGTGTGTGTCGGGGCCACAGTGCATGCACCGTTCATGCACATCAAGGCTACATGCTAGGCCTTCTATGTTTTCTGATGGCGACCTTTAAGAAAAGAGAATACGAAGCCGAAGGCGTCCATCGACATGCTGCTGAACTGGGGTTCCATTATGTACTTGCCCGTGGCGCCCGTTGCGGGATGGATGACACTCGGCTCCCTTCCAATTAACAAGCTTTGAACCTTGTGCCCTTAAATCCCAAATCCAAAGCCCTGACGTCCAGTCCGCAATCCTCAACCCCAAGCCTAAACCCTAACCCTTTTTCCTAGACTGTTCTGAACTGTCTGACCCTATGTGACGTGCAGGGTCGGAATAGTTTGAAATACTATCTCCGTAGTGTCAGCGCGCCTGAATCTCCCAGAACCCTAAACCCCAAACCCTAAACTCTATCGGTACCAGAATCCCGAAGCCCAATTCTTGTTATCCAGGCCTGCATATTATGCTTGAAGCATTTAGGGTCTATAGGACATGTTTTGGATTTGAGACGTTAGGCTTCCAGAGCTGATGTCGATGTTGAGCTGTTGTGTTATTTTGTGTCAGAAAGAGAAAGATAGTTGTACGGTTGGTGATACAAATCCTGCATTACGTTAAGGACCCTAAACTACGGGAATTATGGTATATTCCTTATTATTGGTGATGCAGGATTTATACCATGAACCGTATGGCTTTGTGTCTTTATCACTGCAGCCACGCTCCAGACCTCTGTGTGCGGGGCTGTCACTTCGGTCCTTTGTGCATTGTTGCGCATGTGGCACAGCCCTCAACGGCGACCTTAAACGCTAAACCCCCCAAACCCCTAAAGCCTCAAGCTAAAGCCTACCCATAGGCCCCTAAGTAGTTCCTCTTTGTGGTTTATATTTAGAATCCTACAAGCCTACAAGGTAATCCCAAAATTAGGGGCCTATGGGTAAAGCCCTAAACCCCAAAACCCTAAACCTTAAAACCTAAACCCTAAACCCTAAAACCCCTAAATACTAAACCCTAAAACCCCAAAACCCTAAACCCTAACAGCCTAAACCCTAAAACCTAAAGCCCTAAACCCAAATTCGAAGGCCCCCCCCTGCCACTTCAAGGGAAAAGCCCCAGAGGACGAGGATCCGAACCGCAAAGTTCCCCCAGTGAAGAGCTTCACTTATAGACCCTATAAACCCTAAGGGTCCATGTACTCCTTTAGGGCTCCCGTTAAGGGTTCCTTTAAAAGAGCATCTATAAGGGCTCTTTCTATAAACATAAGGTTTAGGGATTGGGGATTGGGGTTTAGGTTCTAGGGTTTAGGGTTTAGGGTCAGCTTAATAAACCCTAAGGGTTCATGTACTCATATAGTATATACATTGGCCCCAAAGTACCCAAATAGGGACTACTTTAAGGCCAAAGCATATACTATTTGGGCACATGGACCCTTAGGGAAATTATAAGGTTGGTTATAAAGTTGCCTAAAAGGATTTCTACAAGGGATCTATGAGATGGGCGCATGAATGATTAAACTAGGGTTTGGGGGGGTACCTTTGAGTAGAAAGCACAGTAAGGCATGAGGAATACCGTTACATCGTGCCGGCAATCTGGAACCAACGTCTGCCGATCATCTTGCAAGATGACCGGTGCCTTAGTGGTTCCAGATTCCCGGCTCACTGTGCCATTACCAACTTTTCCCGACCTTAAACCCTAAACCCTAAACCCTAAACCCAAAACCCTATGGTACGCAAAGGATCGCCCGGCATCCGGACAGCATCTGGGCCGTGGTCTTTTGTGGGGGCGCCCTGACAGCCGCAGGCTGGCACGATTGACCGTACTTTGGTGCCCCTCTAGCAACCCCCTTTCATAGCCTTAATATATAAACTAAAAAGGTACCTGGACCCTGAGGGCTCGCACAAAAGCCTTACGGTGTTGGGTTTTGGGGTTCGGGCGTTCGGCGTGGGGCATCAAAAGTTTAGGGCTGGCAGAGTGCTTGGTTTGCTGGCCCGGCTGCAAGCATTGCAATGGTAGCCTAAGCCCTAAAACCCTAAACCCCAAACGCCCCAAACCCTATACCCTAAACCCTAAACCCTAATGGTGGCCTTTAAAAACTGGAACTGTGAGCTTCCCAGCGCATTCCTTCCTTCAAGACTTTTTCCATCAGCGGCATAATGCAAGTCAAAGCAGGAGCTGCGCTGTCAGGGTACACAAGTATGCATTTTTCCGTTTATCTTGTCGTCAGGGCTTAGGGTTTAGTGTTTGTGTTTCCTTTTTTGGTTCACCCAATATTATATTTGGGATCCTTTCAACATAACCCTGTAAAAAGGACCAGCAATGAATGGAGACCATAGGGATCACAACTCGACTCCGACTTCGGAGGGTTTTTGGGGTTTCTGGGTTTACAGTAGTTTTCCCTAACCCTAAACCCCAAAAACCCTAAACCCTATAACCCTAGACCCTAAACCCTAAACCCAAAACCCTAAACCCTACTTTTTTTTGGGTTTGGGGTTCTTGGGCTTTTGGGGATTAGAGTTTCGGGGGTAATGGGTAGTAGGGGTCGTAAGGTTTTGGGATTTAGGGGTTTAGTCTACCAGTAGGACATTTTTGAGGTGGGTAGTTCCCGTTATAGGAGCCTTATAGAAGATCTATATACCTTATAGAAGCCTTATACACCCTAAACTCCCCACCTGTAGTTTTCTTTAAACCCTAAACGCTAAACCCCTAAACCCTAAGCCTTCAACCCCTAAACTGCCCATCTGTAGTTTCCTTAATGTAGGGTTCTTTTAGGCAAATCTATGCCCCCTCAACTCTGGCTGGGCCTCGGCGGCCGGCCCATGAAAGCCTTACCGGAGATCTCAGATCTTTAGCAACCCTAAACCCTAAATCCGTTTAGGGTTTGGGGTTTAGGGTCTTGGAGTTTAGGGTCCTGGAGCTTTCGGGGCTTTAGGGTTTAGGGTATGTTAGCCTAATCCCTAAACCCTAAGACCTAAACCCTAAGCCCTAAGCCCTAAACCCTAAACCCTAGCCCAGAACCCCAAAACCCCCAAGAAGCCCTAAGCTTTCAACCTCAAGCCCAGCAACTCTCAACTCTTAAACCCTACCTGGACCTTTCAAGGGCTCCTTATGCTACTTTCCCTTCTAGTAATTCCTTACCCTAAGGGTCCATGTACCCAAATAGGGTCTCTTTTTGGGGTTCCTTTAAAGGGATCTATAAGGGTTCTATGGGGGTTTAGGGCCTAAGGGTCCATTTACCCAAATAGTATATACTTTGGCCATAAAGTAGTCCCTAATTGGGTACTTCGGGGCTAATGTATATACTATATGAGTACATGGACCCTTATAGGGTTAAAGAATTCGAGTTTTGGGGCTTCAGGTATGTCGCCTAAACCCTGAACCCTTGCTCCCGACATCTTCCCGTGTCTTGGAGGGCTCGTCCTGCGCCTTCTGCCCACACTTCTTGGCTTTCATCCGACGTCTCCGCCGCTTGATCTAGTGCTTTATACAGAAGGGTTCGGGATTCCGGATATTCCTTGAGAGTCATGTTTTCAGCTTTTCTCGATTCGGTAGTCTTTGAACTACGTTGGTTTTTGGGTTGGGAGAGGTTTGAGATTTACGGCTTGGTCTCAGTAGTTTGGACTTTGGTTCATGCCCATTGTATCTATGTGAGCTACCTGTTTCTGTTGTGTTGTTCCCTCATGGTCTATGTGTCTGTATAATATATACCTTTGCCCTAATGTCTAAAACCCTAAACCCCAAACCCTGAACCCTAAGCCCCTAAACTCTAAAGCCCTAACCCCTAAACCCCAGGCCCAAACCCATAGGTACCCCAACAAAGGCCACAGTATGCGGCGGAGGCGCTAAACCCGAATAAACCCCAAACCCTAAACCCCAATCCCCAAACCCTAAAGCCCCAAACACTAAACCCTAAACCTTAAACCCTAAGCCCCAATCCCCAACCCTAAAGCCCCAAACCCTAAACCCTAAACCTTAAACCCTAAACCCTGAACCCCTAAACAACCGTAAACCCTAAACCCTAAACCCCTAAACCTTAAACCCTAAGACCCCAAACCGTGGGAACCGCCAAACTCCCTCCAAACTCTCGGGTTGGGGACTTGGGGTTAAAGGTTTAGGGCTTTGGGGTTTCTGGGTTTAGGGTTTAAGGTTTAGGGTTTAAGGTTTAGGGATTTGGGATTTTAGGTGTTTAGGGCTTAGGGCTTTGGGGTTTGGGCTTTATGGGTTTGAGGTTTACTTGGGGATCCAAAAACCTACCGTTTTATGGGTTCTCCCCCTAATTAAGGGGTCATGACCTACTATTTTAAAGGGTTTGGGGTTTAGGGTTTAGGGTTTAGGGCTTTGGGGCTTGGGGCTTATTAGGGTTTAAGCGTTGGGTTTGGGTTTAGGTGTTTAGGGTCTACGGGTTAGGGGTTCAGCGGTTAGAGGTTTAGGGTGCAGGGCTGATAGGGCTGAAACTTTACAACGGACTGCAACAGCAACAAAAAACTCCTACGAAGTCCTAAATAATTTATGAATGTCGAAGCAAAGCCGAAGGATCGTCCACGGCTGCATCCACGTGGGTCAGGCTTCGGCGGTCTTTGGTTCAGGGTTTGTAGGCTTCAATATCTGCAAGGCTTTGGTTTTTGGGCTTGGGGGAGATCTGGTGGGCTCTCTGTTTAGCAATTCTGATACAGGGGGCTGCCCATAGGCCCCTAAGTAGTTCTTTTTTGGGATTACTTTATAGGATTCTAAACATAAACCACAAAAAGGAACTACTTAGGGGACTATGGATACTTTGGAGCCTATGGGTAGTCCCTAAACCGCGAGGCCTTGAACGGAGCTGCTGGGCCTGCAAACTGCGTGACGCCTTCGGCATTGGCCGCCATGTGGTGCCCAAGATGGGTTTAGGGTTTAGGG